GTTTATGTGAAATAAATTCAACTCATATTGGATTAAAGTTGAGTTTATAAGTTAATCATCATTGGAACACCATCTTGTAGGTGGTAACTTTGAGATTTACATTTGATGGCAATCGTTTATCCTTGCGTCCTCTGCTTTATGCTCCCTTTAGTCGAACAATTAACCAAGTTTCGCGTTGGAATCTAAACTGTATAGAATCGGAAACGGAAATGTGGAAGCGAAACATTAGGAAACACAGAAACGATTTTTCTTTCAAAAAAGGAAATGGAAACGTTTTGAAAACGTATATATATATATAATGAAACAAAATATATCAATGGTTTTAAAATATTTGAAACAACACAAATCCAATCCGACTCGAACAAAAAAACACTTCGTTTATGTAACGACTTCATGATTTCAATAATCAATAACAAATCTACTGTAATTGGAAAAAATACCTTGATTATCTCTTCGATTCTTCTACCTTTTTAGGTTACGGTGATGATTAGAGAAAAAAAGATTGTATAAGTATATAATAATTAGGTTTTAAAACTTATTAAAAACTACAAAAAAATCTTTATATTTTCAAAGTATTTATCCAATTTGCTTCCAAAACCAAAAGTCACGTTTCCAATTTTGGAAACGCGTTTTCGGCCGCGTTTCCAATTTTGGAAACACGTTTCCATCGCGTTTCCCGCGTTTCCATCACGTTTTCGTTTCCGAAACGGAAAATGGATCTTGGGTAGAGTTTCCATGTAACCTAGGTTGGAATTCTAGAATTTTTTTGTTTAAGATAGAATAAAAGTAATTATGCTTCAATTAAAGTTCCTGATAAATATTGAATCCTTGTGTGCGGTCCAAATGAAGTTCCTAACAACCGCATCACGTGAATGACACTATATCATCCCCCACCGCACCTCAAGTGGTATAATATATATTCACCGATAGTGGCAAAATGCGAATTGATCAACCCTAGAACACACAAAACCGTCGTTGATAAAGGCTGAGTGTAGGTTCTTTATTTCATCTAATAGAGTTTTGAGAGGAGAGGCTCTCATGAGACATTCCAGTTGTGGCTGGTTATAAGATTAGTATTAGGTGAGACCAAAGCAAAAATATTATACTTCAATCTCATCTCAAAGCAGTACCAGAGTTACAAAAATTGACGTTGGATCGGAAAAGAGAAGAAAAACCAGACAACTTTATGTAATATGTTCCTTTTTGTTTCAGCACAAACATAAACAAAGGTAACATCAAAATAACATCTCTAAGATTCCCCAGCACGGTTTTAGGTCAAGAAGACGAGAACGAATAGGATGATGAACAAGACAAGCAAGAAACATATCATCATCATCTGTCCTTTGGCTCCAGCTTTCTTCATTACCATTCCCACTTTTTTCTGTCACAAACCATTTTCATTCTTTCATTTTTTCCCATAATTCTTAGCAGTTTTACTTCAGCACAACAACAACAACAAGACCTTTTAGGGTTTTACCTGAACAAAGTCAAGCCGGTTCTTCGTACTGTCCATCTCCGAAGCCAATTCATCCATTATTCTTTCCTGAAACAAACACCCAATAGAAAAAACTTCATGTTGAGATCTTTACTGATATTACTACTGTTATATCCTTCCCTTATTAGTTATTACTAACCTGTGCATTGAGCTCTTCGTGTATAGTGAGCCCTACTCCTCCAATTCTCTCTACACTTTTACTAAGCTCATCCAATTCTTCGTCTTGTTGCCTGATGTGGCAAAAATGATGTCAATTATAGCACTACTCTGTCTGAACAATACTATGCTACAATCTTCATCGAGCAAATACAGTCTAAAATCATGGTAATCTCATAAGCAAAGAAGCAATTGCAAAATAATGTAGAAACACTGAAAGAGATTTACTTTATCAACAGCATTTGCCTATCTGATTCTGACTGTACAAAACCGTCATCGTCTCTTCCTCCATATTGATCGTATCTATTTGCTTCAGTCGAGTTTGGCATTCTCATTAGTTCTCTTCGCACTTCACTCGCATGACCAGCTCCAGAACTAACCTTTCCAGCTAAAACACTTGTCTTCACATTCCGCACCTATAAAAAGTATCGCAAATTGTATTGCACAAGTCAACTATCAACAAAGTTATGCCACTCTTTAAAGCTGTAAAGCAGTATTCATTAGAGACATACCTGTGTCCTAGCATTACTAGTCCATCTCCTCCTCCTTTCAAGCTCAGCTTCATCAATGCCATACAACGCAGGATCTTTTGCTGCAACAGTAATCGCTTTTTCCAGCTCATCTACCTTCCTATCAGTAAGGACAGCTTCAATAACCATGAATAGACTCTAATTTTAACAGTGCATTTACTTATTCTATCGGATTTATTCATCGTGTTGATAACTGAGTACTGACATTACATTAGCAGAATAACAAGGGCCTACACATTCTACAAGATCAGCTAGTGTTCAGCATCCATCATCCTCTTCAACAATTTATACAACACTATCTAACTGTGTATAGAAAGACGAGATTAAAAGGGCGGGCCGTTACTAAATACGAGTACCTGCCACTCAATGCTTCCACAATTAGCAACAAGCTCCTTTGACACATGCACTTGATCCCCCATGCCGGGAGAAATACGCTCCCATTTGTGAAACGTAGATTGCAACTTATCAATCTAACAAAGCATCCATGACCAAAAACCCAAACATTAATCAAATATCCCTTAAAATCTAACAAATAATCTCTGTCCATATCGGAAAAAAAAACAACTTACAGAATCCTGGATCTCTTCTTTAACAATATAGAATGGATCTTGTGCCGAAGACATCTCGGAAAATCGGACAAAATTATGCTACCTTATACACCAAAAACACAACTGGTTAAGCAATATATTCAAGTTCTTATTCACAAAGGAAGAACAATTACAAGTTAGACAGAATTTTTTGGAATTTCGATTCATTAGCAAGGCCGATTACTGGAGGTGCGCAACAATTGGATCCAGGGCAAAATCCGATTAAATCCTGAATAATCTATGTTGAAACTTTCTATAATAGAACAGGAAACAGCTTTATCAATCTCTGTACCTTAAGATCGACACAAACCTTAGAAAAAACTTGCGTAACGATTGTGAATGATTCGAAAGCATAAGAGGATAATCGAAGAATCTTAGTACCTGGGAGGGATTAATCGAAAGGCGACGCGGCGGAGATACGAGGAAGAGGAAGAAGAAACGGCGGTGAGGTAATAGAACTCCGGCGTGAGATTCGTCTCTTACATAGCAAAACGCAGCACCTGCGGTTGGGTTGGAGGCTTGGTGGAGAAGGATCACAGAAAGATTAACTTTGGGCTTATTGGAGAACCTTACGAAGCCCAATAACAGACCTTAGAGCCCTTTTTACTGTTCCACTGATATATTTTAGGAAAGTATTGCCTCTCTATAATGTGTTTTATGTACCTCTTCAAGGAATTTTTCTTTTAACAAACCACGAGAGTTTTGAACATTTGGCTTATAATTTCTTTGACATTCGAACTCAGTTTTTAAATATTTCAATTTAAAGAATAACATTCCGTACTAAAGAGGATTTGAACCGGATACAAAATAATCAACTCCTTATGTTACCACTGGGCTACTACACTTTTTTTTTTGTGTGCTAAATAGTAAATATCATATATCATGAAAAGTTTAGGAATACAATTTGCATTGCCTACAATCATTGTAACTTTGGCAAAAGGAGAGAAAAACAAAGTTACAATAGAATTGGGTTAGATTTTGGTTGTGTTACCGAATCCAAAGTGTGCTTAAGTCTCACCACCGCTTTCTATGCCTTCGAGAATTGATCGTGTTGCGTACTTCTCGATCCAAATTCTTGAAGATAGTTTGCGAGTTGAGACGAAAGTTGCTATGTAGTAAGTTGTTCCGATGCTTCCATATATGAAAGATAGTAGCTCCCATGACTATTTTCCTCAAGAGTAATGGAGCTACTGGTGAAGATCGACTAGACCATGAAACAAGCTCTGCCCAGTTTGTGACTTGGCTGTGGGAAGGAGAGAATCTTGCGAAGATCAATCTCCAAATATGTTCTAAGAAACTGCAGGTGATGAATTGGTGGTCCCTTGATTCGGCCATTGTAGAGCATAGGCAGCATTCCGGATTTGTGATGCAACCCCAAGAAAACAACCTTTCCCTAGTTGGTAACCTTAGTCTCAAAACTTCCTTTGATAGGATCTTAACGTAAGAGCCTGACAACTCTTGTT